GGAATGTCTTGCACCTACATGAACTACTTTCTCGTTCGGCCAGACGTGTGCAGAAGACTTTTTTTTCGTGGAAAGACTTCTCTGGAATGCCTCCCGAGGCGGACTGTCCCCGCGCACATACGCCCGACGTCGGCTATTCTTGAGTCCTGCAAATGTCAACAAGCTTTGTAGAAGCCTTCGGGCTTTCTCGAAGGAATTTCCGCCCTGCAACTTCTTTTAATTTTGGTTTTCCCTACGCTTTCCACTGCCTCCTGCTCCTTACCCCACCCAGCTTTTTTTTTTTTTTTTTTTAATCCCTATATCATTATTGCACTTTTCAGGGCCACCATCTTGTAACCAGATGTCAAACAAAGAGTCTGGAATAAATCTAAAGCAGGGCCTATTTTTATTAGCTCGTTGGTAGAGAAGGAGTCTAGATGAGGCTGCAGGGACAGGTCAGAGAGGCTTCCTGTGAAATTAGCAATTTTTTTTTCCACGTTTTTTTCAGGTTGCTCCAAAATGTGGCTCGGTAGGGCGGGGTGGTGGAGGGGAACCCACCGACACTGCGTTATTTCTGTGCTTCTGCCCATGTTAGAAATAGGATGCTAGGGAAAATGTACACATTACAGAGCACAGATGATCCTGGGTACACGGAGATGCCTGGTGTCCAAGTGAGGGTGTATTTCAGGCCTGTGTATTCTTGAAGTTTGCACGGAATAATTTGCAGAGCCAGCAAGTTGGGAATGCAAGCAGTCCCTGGTAAGCGCATCTGTTATTCCTCCCCTCCTTACAGTGAAAAGCCAGGACATTTTGTGCAAGCTGGCAGCATATGGAAGCAAAAACAGATATTGACCCCTTCAGATGCATGAGGAGGCGTCTTAGCTGAATGAGGAGAAGGGAGTGAACGCCACAGAAGGAAATTAAATCCCACGCCTTCATTCTGCTATTCAGGTTAAGCACCGACTGAGACCATTTGCCTCGCCCTCCGGGGGATGCAGAGACCGCTTGGGCAAGTGACAGCATCATTTGCAAAGAGGATCCTGTTGTACTCCGATATAAGTGTTAATTAGCGTGGGTGGACACGATGAGCTCTAGGTTTGCAAGCTTTTTTAAACTGCTCCCAAAACACGTCTCCCTTCAGATATCAACCGCTCGCCTTCTACTTCCCAAATCTCAAAAAAAAGAACAGCCAGCCGAATTCACATTAATCAGAGGTGGGTGTATTGATTTCAAAGGGGATGTGTACTCTTGTACCAGGTGTGCATTTGGCTCCAGGCCTGCTTTGCTGCTGGGCAAAGGATACAGGACCACCTTGGGTTGTTTCTTTTGTGTTTCTTAGTCTCCCTGCGTGCCAGTGCCAGCTGTAATCTACTGAATCCAGGTGATAAATGTTGTGGCTCTTGGCTCTGCTTGTCAAAAGCTTCTGGCGTCTGGCATGTGGTTGTCAAATACCTCTTGCATTTTGCACAAAGAGCAGCACCAAAAGCAGGAGGAATCTGCAAAATCTTGATAACCGTGTCCTGCCTCTGTTAAAGCGGGGAGCTTGGCCTGCTCTGCGCAAAGCAAACCCCGTCAGTCGAGGGCAGCCGGGCAGCACTTTGCCCCACGCGTCCTTCCGGATGTATCAGTCCTAACGGAGAGCAATCACCTTCCTGCCCCTTGCTGCAGTTTTCTGAGGGGGGCTCTGAACCCACTTGAGCATTTCTGACTAACGAGTGAGCTCTGTGCCATGTCCGTCTATCCCAGGGTTGCAACGGCTTTCTGGGGAGATTTCCCCTTAACTCTGAACAAGGTCACTGGAGAGCTCAGTCCGTTCCACGGGGAGAGCACCGCCACTCCCCTGCACCCCCCGCTTCAGGGGGAATCACCTACCACCCTTCCCTTCAGCCAGGAAAGGAGCGGGGCAGGACTGGAACAGCAGCTCCCTTCATTTCCATGAGGGGAGTGAGGGCGGTGCACCAGGTGAGACCTCGTCCCCTGTGAGGGCGGCGCACCAGGTGAGACCTCGCCCCTCATGAGGGCAGTGCACCCGGGGAGACCTCGTCCCTCGTGAGGGTGGTGCCCCAGGTGAGACCTCGTCCCGTGAGAGTGGTGCACCAGGTGAGCCCTCGTCCCCTGTGAGGGCGGCGCACCAGGTGAGACCTCGCCCCTCATGAGGGCAGTGCACCCGGGGAGACCTCGTCCCTCGTGAGGGTGGTGCCCCAGGTGAGACCTCGTCCCGTGAGAGTGGTGCACCAGGTGAGCCCTCGTCCCCTGTGAGGGCGGCGCACCAGGTGAGACCTCGCCCCTCATGAGGGCAGTGCACCCGGGGAGACCTCGTCCCTCGTGAGGGTGGTGCCCCAGGTGAGACCTCGTCCCGTGAGAGTGGTGCACCAGGTGAGCCCTCGTCCCCTGTGAGGGCGGCGCACCAGGTGAGACCTCGCCCCTCATGAGGGCAGTGCACCCGGGGAGACCTCGTCCCTCGTGAGGGTGGTGCCCCAGGTGAGACCTCGTCCCGTGAGAGTGGTGCACCAGGTGAGCCCTCGTCCCCTGTGAGGGCGGCGCACCAGGTGAGACCTCGCCCCTCATGAGGGCAGTGCACCCGGGGAGACCTCGTCCCTCGTGAGGGTGGTGCCCCAGGTGAGACCTCGTCCCGTGAGAGTGGTGCACCAGGTGAGCCCTCGTCCCCTGTGAGGGCGGCGCACCAGGTGAGACCTCGCCCCTCATGAGGGCAGTGCACCCGGGGAGACCTCGTCCCTCGTGAGGGTGGTGCCCCAGGTGAGACCTCGTCCCGTGAGAGTGGTGCACCAGGTGAGCCCTCGTCCCCTGTGAGGGCGGCGCACCAGGTGAGACCTCGCCCCTCATGAGGGCAGTGCACCCGGGGAGACCTCGTCCCTCGTGAGGGTGGTGCCCCAGGTGAGACCTCGTCCCGTGAGAGTGGTGCACCAGGTGAGCCCTCGTCCCCTGTGAGGGCGGCGCACCAGGTGAGACCTCGCCCCTCATGAGGGCAGTGCACCCGGGGAGACCTCGTCCCTCGTGAGGGTGGTGCCCCAGGTGAGACCTCGTCCCGTGAGAGTGGTGCACCAGGTGAGCCCTCGTCCCCTGTGAGGGCGGCGCACCAGGTGAGACCTCGCCCCTCATGAGGGCAGTGCACCCGGGGAGACCTCGTCCCTCGTGAGGGTGGTGCCCCAGGTGAGACCTCGTCCCGTGAGAGTGGTGCACCAGGTGAGCCCTCGTCCCCTGTGAGGGCGGCGCACCAGGTGAGACCTCGCCCCTCATGAGGGCAGTGCACCCGGGGAGACCTCGTCCCTCGTGAGGGTGGTGCCCCAGGTGAGACCTCGTCCCGTGAGAGTGGTGCACCAGGTGAGCCCTCGTCCCCTGTGAGGGCGGCGCACCAGGTGAGACCTCGCCCCTCATGAGGGCAGTGCACCCGGGGAGACCTCGTCCCTCGTGAGGGTGGTGCCCCAGGTGAGACCTCGTCCCTCATGAGGGTGGTGCACCAGGGGAGACCTCGACCCTCATGAGGGCGGTGCACCAGGTGAGACCTCGTCCCGTGAGAGTAGGGCGGTGCACCAGGTGAGACCTCGTCCCCCGTGAGGGCAGTGCACCAGGTGAGACCTCGTCCCTCATGAGGGCGGTGCACCAGGTGAGACCTCGTCCCCCGTGAGGGCGGTGCACCAGGTGAGACATTGTCCCTGAAGCCCAAATACTGGCCTGACTCCTTCAAGAGCCCAAATTAGTAGCAGCTGAAGTCCTGGGTGAGTGCTCAGCTGCTTCCTCTCAAGCTGCGGATGGAGGTGACAGGACATAATTGGATGCTGCCAGCAGCACCGCAGAAAATGGAGCTGCTGCTGGCCCCTCACCAGCTTCCGCACCCGGCTGCCACCTCTGGAGTAGGTCCCACAAGGAATCAGCCCTCCTCCACAGTCCACCCTGGCCCATGTGCAGCCTTCGGAGTGCATTACACAGGGCTAGAGCATCTGCGGCATTAAGCGCCTTTCCCAAAAAGCACAAAAAGTGGCCCCATTGAGCTGATTAGATAATAAACCCAACTTTCTGAGCGGAAGGAGATTGCAAACCACTTGGAAATATTTCTGGAGCAGTGTCCATGCCTAATGTTTCTGGCCCTGCTAAAACAGCATCATAGGGACAAGGAGACGCAAGCCAAAAAGCCCAAAAGTAACTCTGGCTCCCTTCTGCGAGGGCAACGCAACAGATAAACAGAGAAAAGAGCCCGGCTGATCCTCACAGGTGCGCTGTGCACATATTCGGAAGAAAAAAAAACTCCTTAAAGGAGCAGGGCAGCTCCCTGAATCGCAGGTAGGGGCTCAAATAACAAAGGTCTACGTGGGAAAACGCACACACACCCCAAAGGACAAACAGGATAGACAGGCAGAGCCTGGTCAGACAAGGCTGAGATCAGAAGGTCAGCTGTGGTCCTCCACTAGCTGTAGCTGCCTCCTCGCGGTCCCGGGGAGTATATAACAACAGAGGAATGGAGATTTCCTACAAGTGAAGACTAGAAAAGTGTCAGGCTGTCACCCTTGGCTACTGCTATATGAGTCACCATGCCCAAAATATCAGGCTGTCTACGGCTGGGTCACCACACCCCAATGATTCGGTATTCCCAGCTGCCGCTGCCAGAGGTTGCCAGATCCTGTCTGCTGCAGCTGGCCATGAGTGGAGAGAGATGTAGAACAACAAACAGGCCTACCCTTGAGGGTTTTTTCCAGCCATCTCCTTCCTCCTCCTCATTTTATAAAGCTACATGGCTCCT